ACTCCACTGAAGTGATATTACAGTACGAATATTGAAGTACATCACAAGTTTGTTCTTATAAAACATTCAACTTCATTTTAACACTCACCTTCCATATCTTCAATGAAGGAATAATAATTTCAACTGGTAGTAGAGAATATAACCACAAAATGTTCGCAACAAAAACTGATAATCAGTTTGGGCAGTAATCTGCGTGGAAACGTCAACACTTATTTAGATACAAAACATCTGACTCATGAGTAACAAGTGGAGAAGCACATTCGCCTTAGATCTCACCGGATCACCCTAACAAACATGTGCTTAACAGATACCTCATTAACACTCAAGTATCTGTTTTGTGGGGATTCGATTGTTTGGTGGTTTTAGGAATTCATTATAAGGAGATTTCGGTAAAAATATCACTAGAAAACTCGGGAATTACTGGAGAGCCAGCTGTTTCGTCCTAGTTTGGGAGTCCTGTGGAGCGCATGACCATCGACAGAGGTCAAACACAGGAGCTTCTGGTTAGAAGGTAACGAGCTCGTAGATCATTAGGACACTGAGACCCAACCCAATCGCCTAGCAGGAGGGGTGTGAGGACTGATACTCGCCGAAGATGTCGGCTGGCGTTTGCCCTATGTCGTGAATTGCCAGAATTCATGGACTGATCGTTTGATCGAGTCCCAGTGACTAAGTGGTCTACGAGGTCGTTCCTTTGTGATCAGAATGTCCTGAGTTTGAAGGACGGTCAGTGCGTACTCCTCAAGGGTCCAACATTTGTACGAAACAACTCTCTGTCCGTTACTCTCTTGTAGGTTTTCCAATAATTCCCTAATTGATGTTGGCTCACAATGAAATCCTGTAACCAGTATTTCTCCGTTGCCAGTGTGAGCAGCATGTGCCTGTAGAATGTGATCATTTCAATCCCCTGTGTTCAAAAAATGGAAGACAGAGAATGCATAATTGACTAATTCTTATTTACCACAGAAATGTCTGCATTATAACCTCCATGCCTTTTTGCCTTTCACTTCATACTTCAGGTCACGAATCAGATAACACATGATGGCTTGTTAATATTAGTGAAATATTCTCAGTACAATACTTACTCTTTTTCTAAAAGCATTAGACATTTTATGAAACATTTGTATATATATGCAGACATTGAACTTATCAGAAAGATGAGACATTATATGGTAGTATAGCTACAATTTTCAATGGCCCACTGACATCTGAAATTCAAAATGTTAGCGATACATGGTAAAACAAACACATAATAAAATTCATCACTAAAATAGAATCCAACTGCAAACATTTCATGAGATATGCTCAAACAGATTCATTGAACCTATTGACTGTCATAATGAACTTGGTTAGGCTTCAGTAGACTGCAAAATATGTCCATTCGTTTTCTGACTTTCCTGACCATATTTTGTTCACTGCATCTATGGTGATCAATATTCTTAGGTTTGGGCAATATCCAGAAACAAATTCAGTAAGAGATTTCACTTGATTTGATACCATAATTCATGGCAATAAAGAAGTCACCTACCTGCCTAAGTAACTGGTTTACACTTTGTTCGAACTATTATTCTCAACAAATTATATTAATTCAATGTCATTTCTGGAAAATTTTGAATTCAGTACGAATCTAATGAAACAGTGTTTGACTCAGTTCAAGACAACTGACATGATTATGCGAATTCGTGTTATTCAACTCCAATGGTTATTCTTGCTATTCTCGCGGTGACATATTCTGTCTTTCCACGTCTTCTCTACTGATCGATTCTCACCACTTCTTGAATGTAGCAAACATCAAGGTCTGCTTCAAATCACTGAAAACACTTACCGAGTCATGAAGAGAATAAAAGACAATTCAGCGAAGAAACTTTTCTTTATCGATGAAACTAACTTCAGAGGCTGTGCAGTCATATTTATATAAATTTGTGAAGAATAAACTGCCGCTGTCGACCACTTCAGTGTGCGTTTATAAATTCATCTGCTTGTTTGGAGACAACTCAATTCTCCAGCACTTGGTGAACTCAAGCCATGTGACTATACCAAAGTCATCTTTCAAGATTATCCACAAGATGAAAATGAATTTTACAAAGGGTGTCACGTCTCAGCATTTGTATGTAGCACAGGCGTTGAAAATTCGTCAATACAACCGGGAACTCTGTATACTGAAGAAGTTTGTTCAGTCAGCTATTCGACTATTGTATTAACCTCTTCCCTACAAACAATTTTATTTATTTTTGTTAAATTTCGATTGTACTCTTAGTTCACTCTCACTTTCATAATTAATTCAATATGATCGCTTTCATTTGTTCTTTTGTCGTAAATTTTCTCGCGCTCTCCACACTTGTTAAATGGACAATCAACTGTCTTTAAATATTCACTCAATAACAATTTTCAACATTCCTTCGTGTCAAGAACTTATATTTCCATAGTATTTTTAATGAAAATGCAACTCACCCCATTCAACTTAAATAAGATAAAACATTTAATACCTCACACAAATGCTCTTTTATATATAAACAGGAACCAATGGTGTGACAAACAGTACTATTATCTAATCTTCCCTCACTTCAAAAAACGTTAATAACCAACTGGATACACCATGTTGCCTCGCGAATGGCTTTTTGATTAAGTAATCAGAGTAACATCCGAAGTTTCCCTGAAATCCGGCTGAATCTCAAGCTGAATCAGTCACTGACCTCTTATATTCCCTAAAATTCATAATCATATGAGGTTAACTAATCTATAATAGCATTAACAATGTGATTAAGAAAACGTCCATGCTTGTTAAAATCGTAGCTGCCTGTCATGACTGTGACTTATATTTTTTGATGTTGACTATTCTGAACTCTCAAAACTGCTTCACGTTCTGTTTTGTCGCTTCAGAATTCAAAGTATATACCCATTTGATCCCAATTGATAGACACTTTGATTTGAAGCATATTTTGTTAGCGATTATCTGCCAAAGCTGCCGAAGAAATCCGACCTACACCTCACTATGCAAGAACTGGCACGGAATAATTCTCTTGTGCACGCCAAGTAAAATACTAAGCCGCGTCATCCTGGAGAGAATAAAGGATGTACTGGAAACAGAACTCCGCCCAACGGAGTAGAACTAGCTGGATTGAGAAAGGCAAATCATGTGCTGTTCAAACCTTAACCTCAATTCCATAGACTTTGAATAGGCCTTCTTCGAGAGACCGTTGAGTGCGAAGTAATTTGGAAACCACGTCAAAGTACTGCATGCAGAGCCAAAGTCACTATCAACCGCATTCAGTAGTTGGCTGCATGGCATAGGCACGTGCATGTGATCTACAACAGAAAACTAAGTGAGGCGTTCGAAGTGAATACTGGAGTAAGACATGACTATCATGCCTGTTATCACACACGATGGTATTCCTAATTGTGGTGAAGTGGGTTATGTGGAAGACTGTTGGTGGCGAGGAGTCAGGACTCAGCTGGACGACCGATAGAAAGACTCTAGAAGATCTGGATCTCGCAGATGATATATGTCTAATGTCACACAACCTTGAAGACTTGGAAGTGAAAAACAACAAACTGAATGAAGAGGCAGTAAAGACAGGACTCCAACCGAACATTGAGAAGTCAGTGGTGATGAAGATAATCAACAAACCGCATCAAGAACAACAACCAGCACCAGTCAACATCGATAGGAGAGATTTGATAGAGGTGAATTCCTTCAATTATCTAGGAATCACCTTCTCAACTAAAAGCAACACCACGGATGAAGGCGTCATATCTGCTCAGCCGTAATCAGAAAGGCAATATACTCCCCATCAACCTGGAACCAGTATGAAATTCCTCTTCATGAACTCAGCCAGCATAAACAACAGGATTCAGATTTTGAATACAAATGTGAAGTTAGTCCTTATATATGGCTCAAAAAATTGCACTGCGTGTCAAGAAAATGATTTCCAACAGGTCGCGGACTTTCATCAATAGCTGCCGCATTCTATGACTCCATACTGAAGATTAGATAGCCAACTGGCCAGATAGAATTAGCAACAAGATGCTCTTGCAGGGAACAAACCAACCGTCAGCCGATTTTTCAGCAAGTATGTAAGCGAAAATGGAGGTGAATTGAGCATACGCCACTGTGAAGGCCGTCGAATGACATCGAGCTCAATGCAAGGTACTGATCGAGGAAAATTCCGACGGAAGGCGACGAGTGAGTAGACAGTGCTAAGGTAACATGGAGTAAATCATATGAGGAGGAGGAGATAAGGATGATTGTGGGTATTCATGGTCCCAGTCAGCTGAAAAAACCAGCAGAGAATAGAAAATCCTGGAGAGATGTTGTTGAAATCTCAAATTCCACTCGCAACCCAAAGGAATGATATTATAATGATAACGTTATGCTTCGGATACAAGTAGAAAAGACAATGCTATATTCACTAATTCATTGATGAAAGTATCAGTGAAGGTAAGGGAACTGAAAACTCACGCAATGGATCTAAAATAGCAAGTTGAAAATGATCACAAAACAACAAGCAATGAACTATGTCAACTTATAAGGACCATGTGGTAGAAATCTGGTTAAATTATTTCTGAGCTCTGCGTGTACCATATAACAGACTTCAAACGGAACGCATAAATCAGACGGATGACATAGGTACCCAAAGGTGTTTCTGTGAGACTGTCCGTTTTGCTGATCGAAACTAAAGAAGATAGAACATTTTTTACCTGAAGCTATATAACTTGCAATTATTGATTTATTTAAAATTATCCCGATTATCTCATAAGTTTATCCTTAGATCGGATATTTGTCAAGTAGGGAAATATTATTTAATCATTACAAGACGTGAATTATTATGAAGCTTTCGAATAGATACCAAAATGTGACGTTCTGAAGGCATTAGCTGGTGAAACTCATATTCGAGGCAACTCCTGGTTGTCATTATCAAAAGCGAGAAATACTTTTTCTCTCACACACAGAATAATGTCAAATCTCATCTGGTTTATTACTAACTTGAATACACGTCTTCAAGTAATCAACTCAAGTAAATATCCTTATTTGAAAACATATCAATTTGATCAAACGGCGTTCTGCATCTCAATTTGACTTCCATTATTCAACGGCTACACACGAAACTTTGCTTCTTCAAGGAATATGATATTCTATTGTACTGATAGTTTACAGTTGTTGACGATGACGAGTGAGCTGAAAGAGACTATGTTTCTAAACGGGTGTGAATACGAAATGGCAAGTCGCTTAGATGTTTTTGATAGGACTTCTGTGAACAGGGGTTCCACCTTCACATCTCTATCAGTTAATTAAACACAAACAACAGGTTGACAGATCATCCATAATTCATTCTTAATTGTATTATGTGAAGATTTCAAATCACAAATTTTACCTGGCCTCAAATTCAGTTCAGGTCCCCTTACTGAAATATACATTGAAGTATTAATTAGCAGTTATACAATGTAAGTAACAGTGTCATTCAATTGATATATTAGTACATAAACAAATCAATTCAGACATTATTATAGTGGTAGCTGAACATCATTCATTCAGTTTTCATAGACCATACATCAGGGAAAATCATATGAACAGTGATCATTGAAATCATCCTTTACCGGCTAGGTTTTTATTGATTATCTATACATTACGCCACTTCATTCAAAGGACGGTTTAGGAATGTATTCGATCATCATAAAGCTTGTTATTACGAAAGTCTTCAGGTCCACACTGTATTCATTTTCTACAGTTATATCTTCTGTCGTATAATTATGAATGCGCCTTGACGTTCCATATTTTATGCAGTCGAAATTTGTGAGAATTTTCAAATGAATCTTTTGAAGGTAAACGTTCTCAATTATTATGACATTTGATGAATATTGGTCACTTACTTGGTGGTGGTGGTATTCCTGTATGATAAATGAATCAGTTTTAAATAAAACTAAAATGGTGTACCAGAATACCAAAATAGTGATTCATTACCACTTAATTGAATTTTGACTAATATTTCATTGGATATTTCCATGTTTATTGTGTGGTTAGAGATTACTGGAAGCCAAACATTGTTGACAACATTAACGTCAATGTTACGTACTAAATCAGGGTCATGAGAAAAACAATAACAAGGATTAACCTTGAAGAATTCACCAACCAATCACAGCAGACTTAACGCGTGGAAATACGATTCGCATATATATGACTTAACTTTCAAAGAAACGGTCTGCCACAAGGAGTACAGAATAACCTTCAACAAGGAAACAACCGTTCAAAAGACACTGATTCCTCTGACAATAATGTACATAAAAGTCTATAAATGTCTGTTGATTTTCTCATGAAACGATCTGTGGCCTGGCCCTTGTCTTCTGTCATTCCATTTGGACTTCTAATACTTATCTGTTCCAATTTCTGAAATCTGAAGGTACACTTGTAAAAGGCGAAAAGACGATACCCGGCCGACTCACTCCTTTACCTCGATAAGCCAGAAATAATGCTGGTAAAGAGTGAAGTTCGGGCATGAGGCTAGCAACCCCATCCTGTAAAATAAAACGCTGCTACAGAAACTTCAAGTCACTAGCTTGAAGCCCTATGTTCCACTGAGGAACGTGAAGGAAAAAAAAGGCACACTTGTACCTTCGTTTCTGAAGATTTTGTAAAGAATTAAAATCTCTGTGAAACAACTGAATACAATCAGATGGAATTCGCGTCCCACCCACAACATAATCATTCACGGTGTGAGGAAGGTGGTCATCGTGAGAAATCAGAACTCTACAGAATGCTACAGTCAATAGCTTGGTTTTGAGAACTCTTCGTCTTTGTTCTCTGTGTTTTTCACTTGATAGTGTGATTGCGGTGATCAGCGTTGACAGGTGTTCCTGGTCGAGGGTTTTCTCTAATTTTGCTTTTTGGATATCTATAATTTGTTGATATTTTCTGATTCGATAATGTGCGTCTGTAATCATTAATTTGACCAATCGTCTTCCACATTGTTCAGCTAATTTCCATCCCATTGGGCAGTTGACTGGGTGGTTTGTATCTTACACTGTTTGGTAGGATTTGATGACGAAGACACTCATGGAGAAAGAATAATTGTTCTCTGGTGGATCCTTGCTTTTTGGCGAATTCTTCCCACTTTCGAACAGAGAGAAGCGTATCCTGCTCGTAAGATTTAGATATGATAGAGAAGATTTGTTGAATGAGTTGTGCTCAAAGGTGTACATGGAAACAAAGTAATATACAGAATTACACAAGGGTTTTAAGTTAGAAAAATATGCAAGAGACACCATCCGTGCCAAAAAAGATACTTTATATGAACCTAGACTTCAAAGGAGACCTATTTAGTGACGTCCTCAGAAGGAGAATTTCCACCTCTTTAGGAAGAACTTTCCCTGCGGCAACACTAAGAATAGTGTTCTCCAGTCGCCCACTGATCTGCAGAAACCCAAAGGACAAGATTCCGCACATGACCACTTCTATGTGTATATATCAGTTCACCTATTGCTGTGGAGCCAGGTACATCGGTCGTTCAACGCGCATCCTGTCTAAAAGGGTCAGAGAACACTATCCAGCGTGGCTACAGAAAGGAAATAATGGCCATATAAGGAGTGCAATAATCGAACATCTCGTCAATACTGGTCATTCCATCTCAACGAACGCCTCCTCGTTCAAAGTAATCTACAAAGTGAAGAACAACCTTCCAAAGACAGTACGATTCCGTCTACTTTGCATCGCAGAAGCCCTAGCCATCCAGTTGGAGAAACCAGAACTATGCATACAAAAGAAAATTATCCAACCACTTCTACTCGCATGGTAACTACTCCTTTGATTTGACTTAACTTTTCTTTGTTTGTTTGATTTGACCTTACTTCTGTTTGTATGCTTATTTTTCTAACTTAAAACCCTTGTGTAATTCTGTATATTATTTTTTTTCCATGTACACCCTTTGAGCACAACTCATTCATCAAACTGTTCATGCCATTACGTAACTCTTATTTAGCAATCATTTAAGAGAAGATTTGTAGCTCAGTGATGATTTTGATGTGGTTTTGTTCTCTGAGCTGGATGGTTAATTTGCGAAGCTTTCATCACCCTACTGGGTGACATCTTCAGGGCATACTTCAATTCGAAGTCAGTTTTATCATTTCAGTAAATCATCAAACTGTTTGTTCAGTATTAAGAGGATTATTTGAAGTACAGTGGAATAAATTATAGGGTAAATAGCGAATTGAGTCAAGCTAAAGTCCATCTATCTTTCTGCAACGAACACTGAAACTGTTCCAAGATATCTTTCATTGTATTCATAAGACAATTACTGAACTTCTATATTTCAATCAGATGACATATAAGGAGCATAAAAATGACGATAAGGGTAAGAATAACATAATTACACCGACGCATTGATAAAAGTCTCACAAAAACTGAACGCGTGAACCGATTTCATTCTGATAACTGCATTTTGAACACCACTTCACAGAAAATTGTGCACTAAGTAATAATTGTCTCAAATTCTTATCATCCAGTTATACAAATAAATTACTCACTCATAGCATTTTCTACTTTTCCAACTTCTTTTGCTAAACGATAAATAAAACATCATTGTGGAATGGTCGAATTGAGAAGGATAACAAATTATGGAAGCAAGATAATGGCATAAGGATGCATGAAAGTATACGAATGTCCTACGCCTAACAAACAGTATCAATGATTACAATTAAAGTATTAGTTTTAAAGGATTTTGTTTGATTGGTTGATGGAATTCATCGTGATCTGACATTCTTTAGCGAACCTAGGGGTACTGGAAATTCAGCTGTTTACTCCTGTTCAGGAAAACGCATCCCCTCCAGGTTTTGAACCCAGGGCCTCCTGGTTGCTAGGTGAGCTGGTAGACCACTAAGTCCGCCACTGGGATACTATCCAATATTTTGATTTGACACTAGTAACTAGTGTGATGCATCTAATCCTCTGTTTGGTGTAGACTGAGTTCTATCGGTCAGGTTGTGATCTGACCACCATTCTAGCTAGCTCGCCATCACGATGCACATTGATTTGATGGTATTTGATGGTTGAAGGCAATCGGCAGGAAGCCTTGGACCTAGGTTTCGTGCTAGTTCGCACTCGTCAGCAAGGCGTATCTGCAACCTTGAAGGAACTCATGTATCTTCTGAGACTCGAACCTGCGTTACTAGCTACTAGCGTCAAATCAAAATATCCACTACAGTCCTACAGGAGGTCAATCGCGAGCCCGATTAGCCCACTGGTAACGGCTCTGACTGCAGTACTGGGTGACGGAGGTTCGAGTTTCAGAAGGTACATGAGTTCCTTCAAGGTTGCAGATATGCCTTGCTGACGAGTGCCAGCTAGCACGAAACCTAGGTCCAAGGCTTCCTGCCGATTGCCTCCAACCATCTAACACTATCCAGTATCCAGCTCATGAATTCTAACTTCCAAGTTTCAATGTCTTCTTCGGCAAGTTACTGTCTCACATTCAACCTGCTGTACTCTAGTCGTTACGGCTTCTCACTAGAACCCCAGGTTAAGTGTCTGAATAGGGCCAGTTGCTAGTGAGCATTAGATCAATTTTCAAATACTGGTTTTGTAGGGATTTCGCTTGATTGTTTCGACTGGTTATCTAACTGAGGTCAGCACACGATGAAATTCTCCAACTAATACCATTCAGTATATATGCATACGTATTTATATATATATGTGTCATCCACCAGTATATATCAAACATTACCCGACACAGAGCAGATAAAATTAATTTAACGTAACAAATTGAGTCAATCGAATCGTCATTCAGCCTTTTGTGGAAATATTTGAAATTCTTCTAAGGTATATAATATTTTTCTGAACGTCAATGTGTTCTCTTTACTTGCATAATATTACCTGCTTAGTCAATTCTACTTTGACATTCATATTCTTTTTGAAGTACATGCAGATAACTCACCAGGAGTCTTCACCACTGCCGTTGCATTAGTTTCTAAAAGACGTTCAGAAATAATTGGTCAGATGCTTCATATATAAGCTGGAAATAATACTAATTGTGGACAATTGTGAACGTAAATGCATACACATGTATACCTCATCTGTGTACAATGTGAATTGTGAAATGTTTAATCCATTATTTTCATGTTGCATAACCACAAAATTATTTGAGTAAAAATCAACCTCAATAACTCCTCAAAAGAAGGATCATCAAAGATAAGACTTCCTTCAGGCGAAAGCAGGGAAAACAGAAGTACGTGATGAGGATTCCTGGCCAACAGCAACAGCAGTAGGCAACAATCAGGATAAGTGGGCACGCTTTCATTTTTCTCAAATCTATGTGAAGAGTAACAGCACTCAGCATGTATAATAAGATCCGGATTTTCAACTCCAATGTGAAATCAGTGCAAATCACTATACGGGTCATAGATTTGGCTAGCGCGTCACGAAGTCCACTTAAAAACAAACTACACACCTTCATCAACATCCATCTACGCTCAATACTACTCAAGATCAGATGGCCGACCAGGAAAGATCAGCAACAGGGAGGGATCTCTGGCAATGAACGCAACAACCCAGAAAGAACCAACTGTTCAAGAAATATGCAGGAAGAAATGGAGGTGGATTGACCAGACTCTGAGAAAACAAAGCATCAAGTGACATCACACAAAAGGCCACCACTCGACTGGAATCTGAATGGGAAGTGGCGAATTGGTGGTCAGTGCGAGGGTGACATGTAGGAGGAGGTCATGTGAATAGGAAATGAAAGCATGTGGGAAGACGTGTATCCAGGTGAAAACATTGCCAGAAAAATGAATGCAATGTAGTCGTGGGTTGAAGCCGTATTTTCTTCTAGGGACTACAGGAAACAATAATAATAACTTCCCAAAAAGATTAAATTCTTCAGAACAAGTGTAAGAAGATTTGAGTTAAAACATGAGGAAATTTTATTATGAAACTTTCTCTTTAGCTGAATTACAACTGTCTCACTAATAAGAACACACTCCTGTCTTCCTTTCGAACAGGTGTTTAGTTTCTTATTCTCTCCTTTTTGATGCCTTAATAGGTATTTTTGCAACACGACAAGAAAACAGTCTTTTGTAATAAATTTAAAAGAGTTTTCAAAAGGTTTTGGAAACTTGATGACTACTAAAGACATTAGTTACCCAGACACATTCAGGGAGAAGATTAGGTGATTGTATTCAAGGAAGCATCATAAAGATTGAAATAAGTGAGTTAAAATCAATGAGTCCAAAACAGTTGAATGATGGTTACTCATGTAAGAAGGGATTAGTAGCCATGCCAGTGCATTTGCACATTTCAGGCGTAAGATCCCTCATAGCGGTTGATTCAGCCAAATGAAGTAGCTTAGTGTTTCAATGCTTTTTGATAATGGTGAATGCTGTAACACTCCAGTTATTATGATCGTAATGACTTAATTTATTCTCAGTGAGAAAGAAGAGAATTTTATGATCACATTTCTTTAATCCTGTGTGTACTTTGGGTTATCTGAAGCTGAAGAGGCGCCTCGACATTACAGCTGCTGTATATTTTACACTGCAAATATTACTTTTCTTGCTTTTGAGAGGATTAAGAGTAAATGTTCTGTGATTCCATTCTAATGACTACTACATCTCGAATAACTCATGAAAAATAATCAGCCCTTTCACTTCGTAGTAAAAATTATCCACGAGATAATTTTTATTTTCTCACTCTTAATATTCAGTCATAGAAGCAGGTAACTCACCATTACTGCCATCCTTTTTATTTGGTTGATCTTCTAAATATTATTTATAATAAAATGGATGCATGTGACAAGTTTTTGGGTTGAAATAACGCATCACGCCTTTTGTCTTTTAAGGATAAATGTACAATCAAATGTGAATAATTTGTGAAATAATTTGAATAGTGAAACTTGCATCAAATACTGACTCTCGAGGTATTTGATTACACAAACAGAAGAGCTTAATTAGAGTGTCATTCATATAGTTTCCAATGGTAACCAGTATGGTTGAACTAGCACATACAAATTTCACATTCATAGAATCGGTATAAATAATAAAAATATTATTTTCTGATCAAACGAACCACAGCTCACAACTCCTTGATTCAGCTGAGGGCACCGACAGATTTAATGGTAATTATTGTCCAAGATCTTGATAAATCTGATTTTCTTTTTTCTTTTCTTCTTGTTCCCCAGTGGAACACAGGGCTTCAAGCTAGTGACTTGAAGTTTCTGTAACAGTATTTATCTTACAGAATGGGGTTGCTAGTCTCATGTAACTCTTTACCGGCATTATTTCTGGCTTAGCGAGGTTAGGGAGTGCGTCGGCCAGCGTCGGTCGGCGAGCGTCCTAAACGCTATGCCACCGACGCACTGATAAATCTGATTAGAAGTACATATTAAATAAGAAAACTGTTTAGCGTGAAAATACAAAACCAAAAATACGGGAACATGGATGCAAGCAAATATCTGAAAGTCGACGCTTATGAGATAGTAGTAAGAGTACATCAATGCGTTAGTTAATATGGATGGATAAAGTCGGCTAATATAATAATCCATAACGTATACGAAGGATTTTGTCTAAGAAAGTATAATTTGAACCAGGGCTAAGCGCATTAGCGATTTCGTGTCTCAATCTAGTATACTTATGAATTCGGGTAACAACTCTGAAATTATTAGTATCATGAGCATTGTTGAATCACGCATTGGCTGATGTCATAAAATCAGGCAAAGTTTAGATGAGAGAGGGAGAGAGACAGCGCACATGTATTGGCACGAAATTTAAACGAGTGGAACAGGAACTCGATTATAAATCAACGTTGTAAATAAACAAAAGTGTAAAACTGATTGCATTAAAAATTAATTAAATCACGGAAAATACCCATTGAGTCATGAAGAGAATAAAAGACAGATTCAGCGAAGAAAATTTTCTTTATCGACGAAATCATCTTCAAAGGCTGTACAGCCGTATTTATTTATCCAAACGCATCTCTGAACATTATCCGGAATGGTTAGCAAAGGGACAATACAAGACAATTACTAGCTCAATTCTCGAGCATTTGGTGAACTCAGGCCACTTAGCTCCACCAGAGTCGTCTTTTAACATCATCTACAAAGTGAAGCCAAATTGTACAAAGGGCGTCAGGTTCCGGCTTTTGTGTATGGCGGAGGTGCTGGCAATACATCAATACAACCCTGAACTCTGTATACAGAAAAAGTTTGTCCAGTCTCCTATTCTACCTTGGTCTTAACCTCTTCACTTATCGTTCCCTGTAAAATATTTTTGATTCTTTCTTTTGTTCTTAATTTTTAATTTTACTTTACTTTTGCTTTAATAATTAATTCACTATTATCAATTTTATATGCTCCTTTTGTATATTTTCACACCCTCTTCATACTTGTTAAATTGACACTCTAATAACTTTATTCTCATTCAAGAGCAATTTTAACCTTTTCTAACTTCTATCTTTGTTCCGTTGAGTACCATGTAATTTACAACTTTTAATTTTCACCTCTAAAGCCACTTATGATTAATTACATCAATTATGTCACCCCCTATTACTCAGTAGTAGACAACTATGTATTTTTCTAAGTATAAATACGACTGTACAGCCTCTGAAGATGATTTCGTCGATAAAGAAAAAAAAAATTAATTAATTAATTAATCAGTACACATAAAATATGATGGTCACTGTGAACTCACTTGTCTCCGCAGTTTGTGTTCCTGCATCTTTTGTTAAATGATAAATAAAACATCTTTGTCAATTACCGTAACTGTATCATTAATCATTTATGAAAAATAAGTGAAGGCTTTTATCAGCAAGAACAGTCATCTTGACGAATTTATCATGAACAAGCGATGTGTGAAACCTGCGATGACATGAAGCAAAATTCCCACAGAAAAAGGAAACAAAGTGTCTGTCACGACAGAAGCAGGGAATACAGAAAATTTATCTGCGAAGGTGGATCCACCTGAGAAACTGCTGTCTGGTTGGCTACATATCATTAACAATATCCACCAAAAAAAAATATTTTGTCAGTGAGAAAGTGAAAACATCCAATATAAGATGTAGAACACATTGCTTTTTATAAGATTGTGACTACCCTTCTGAAATCCTTTGAAAGAAATTAGTGGAATTAAATTGCCCTCAACGTAATAGTACAACCAAGTCCCATTTTTTAATCTAAACACCACCATTTTGATATATTTTTCCAGATATTTGAGACTGAAGGTTGTTCGCCTTGCTAGCGGATGATCCGCAGTTTGTGCTAACCACTTTGAGGACAGTCATATGATTAACTTTCGTGTGTTTTGATGTTCAGCGCCAACCACACCGATGTCTGTTTTCAGTTTTCGAGGGGACACTCAACGCGATGAGTTGGAAAGATTTCAATAAGATGCAACTGTGAGTAATACTATTTGAAGGCATTAATTATTGAATAAAAGGAAAACACACAGGATCGACATGAGCCGTAATATGATTTTATGGAAGATAGCTCATACCTCAATTAATCTGTAGTGATTTGTATTCGGCAGACTAATTTTTGCAGAATTCCAGTGGTGTAAATAATACTCTCGAGGTGTATAGTTACGAAAACCACGATGACTTTCTAAAATTACCCTGCACCTGTTCTGTAGGTTGTAGATATCAGTTAAGCTTAGCAGAAAACACTATTCGAGTGTAAGGACAATGACTCATCAACGATACCATTGACTTGTGGTGTCAGTATACTGTACATGAATCCACAAAAGTTGGAATTCATGAACTGGCCGCTAGATCCCATCCCAATGGCTTATGAATGGTTTAAGAGCTCACCTTTTAACTGAGAGGTGACGGGTTCGAAACGCATTGGAATGAACGAGTACTAATGATGCTTCCTAAACTAGGACGAAACAGCTAGCTGCTCAGTACTGCCTGGTGGCTTTCACAATGTTTCTCTAAGTGACCTCAGATAATGATTATATCCAGTAACCAATCCACACCATGCAAACCAACATCTGAATAACTATGATTAAGTCGATAAATTGAGTGATGCAACATAATTAACAGGACTGAGTAGGACTCATATGAAGATGTAAGAGGGACTACTTAGGACTATTGTCACATGAAGCAGCGTGATAAATATTTAAATGAAGAAACTGAAAATTGCACCGATGCAAATTAAATATTGGGACAAATTAGGTGGATTGTAGGTGAAGTGACTGAACACACTTCTTCTGTCTGCGGAATTCATGCTTTACCAGGCGGATTATTACAATGTTCGAGTTTGGAAGTAGTTTAGTTTGTACGTCTTGTTCTAGAGGACCCTGAAATCGGCCTGATGGTTTTTTCGGTGTCCAGAATAGATTTGCCCCATATAAGTACTGCTGAATCCCTTTTTCTTAGGTTGTGTAAAACCATGTGTCAACCAGAGGTTAGGCCAGGATGCATATATTCATGCGAAATATAAAGTGGGCGGAAGAGGCACTCAATCATAAAATAACAATACAAATCAATACATTATTACTTAAAAAGTGCAGATAAACTATGATAGCTACTTCAAACTCACTACTAGCTGCAGCCGGCTTTGTCGGACTTTTTGCTAAATGATAGTTAAAACACCTTGGTCAGATATGGTGAATGTTTTTGTTAAATAATACATAACACGGCTTGGGCTACTAACATAGATGCGTGAACATGAGCGATTTCTTTGCACAGAATCTGTCGATAAATTCTTCATTCATTATTTGAAGTAGAACTCCGTGACCATATTAATAAACACCATTTTCACGGACATCTTGAAATAATGTAATTCTTGAGAGCAACAAGATAAAACAAATTGCAGTTTAAAATGCACACATTTCATTCTAAGGCTCTCTTTATCTAAACACAACACAAAATGTACACACAAGATCTACGAAGTCAGAGTACACAATGTTTCTTGTCTTTCACTGAGCAGAAAGTGTTGTATTACATTATTATTGCTTCCTTCAATTCCTAGAGCTTACCTTGCTTTCCCGATGCTCGGTGCCTTCATATCCTCATCAATTCCGTCCTCCTGTAGTTGAAACGATGTTTTCCTGGTAGGTAGGTTGGTAAAGGAGGCTGCTTCATTCAGATTTCTCCCATTGATGCTGCTTACTGATTCTGCTGTTGCTGTTGGCCAGAGATCTTAAAGAGAAGGATGGCTAGCTGCTTACTGTCTCCAATGGTTTTCTTGATCGGTGGTGACAGACTAAATAATGTGACAGAGAGAAAGAAACGAGGAGACAGACATAAAATGTACTTCCACAAAGTCTTGGAGGGTCTGGACGTCGCCGATTATATCTTACCGGTTTCCCACAAACTAGACGATATGCAAGTGAAAAGCGACAAGTCGCCAGAAGAAGCAATTTCAGAAGACAGGACTTCCTTCGGGTGAATATTGAGGAAGTTGAGGTAGTTGATGAAGCTCCCTGGCCAACAGCAACAGCAACAACACCAACAGACAACAAGCAGCATCAATGGGAGAAATCTGAATGAAGCAGCCTCTTATACCAATCTACCTACCAGGAAGCATCGTTTCAACTACAGGCGGACGGAACTGATGAGGATATCAAGGCATCCAGCATCGAGAAAGCATGGCAATCTCTCGGTACTCTCAGGTCTGTGTGGAGATCAACATTACTCCACTTGAAAATGAAAATGAGATCCGTATTTTCAACTCAAATGTGAAGTAAGTGCTACTTAATATGTGGATCAGAGATTTAGTCAGCACCTCACGAAGGGCACTTCAAACAAACCACACAACTTCATCAATAGCTGCCTGACTTTGCCCAATACAAAGTGATGTCAGATGGACGTTTAGAAAAGATCAGCAACATGGATCTCTGGAAACAAACCAAAAAACCCAGCAAAGACCTACTGTGCAACAAAAATGCAGTAGTAAATGGTGGTGGATTACCGTACTTTGACATCGCACGCCACGCTATCACTCGAGTGGAATGCCAACGCGAAGCGGAAATTCGTCGTCAGTGCGAGGGTGACATGGTGGAGGTGATGTGTAGAGGAGAGGAAAGCATGTTGTCAGACGAGTAGCCAGCTGAAAAAAATGTCAAAGATTCAAACACAATGAAGACGTGTAGCTGAAGCTGTGTGTTCCTATAGGAACTAAAGGAACAATAATAATATTGATTTCCTACTCGCACTATTTAGCCACAGAAGAGGAAAACTTACGAGTATCTTTATTTGTTGGTGGGACGGCTATATATTAGATAATCATCATTAAAGGGGTTCGTAAAGTGTTTGAAATTCAAATGTCTTATTACGACTCTTATTTTGTAAGCAGAATTGCAAAATGTGGGCGATTTACTTGTAGTGAATTCGAGTGGTGAAATTCTCGTCAGAGTGTGTGCCTACACAAATATATGGGAAGGCATTATCTTCACAAGTTCTTTGATGAAATGATTGAATTGATTGATGACTATATCGTGAGTACTACTCACATATCTTCACAAAACTTTCTTTATTTGATTTTACTTTTTAAGGTGTTAGACCAGACTAATTAATTATTCCACACTTATGTCATTCACATTGTTATAACATCGTAACACAATCTCAGATCAATCAGTTGTAGAATAACATATTATATACGTTTAACATACAGAGATGTAGTATTAATAACTAGAGGACACATGCAGTGTAACGTACTGCACATAATCCTGTTACATAACATCTTTATTTCATCTATACAGGCTTATTCGCTTAAACGGATTCCAATGAGATTTTCAGTGTATTCAAGATGAGTATTGGGCCATTACTTGTGCCGGTGTATTCAGTGTGGAGTGACTGAAAAAGGATTCGATTTAATGCTTTCAACCTTTCAACCTACTGCATAATTGTAGGCAATGAATGTATTGCAATCGCTGTCCATCTCAAATCTAAACGTTTTGTTAAAATTATAACGCATAAGTTCCCATTTTGCTCGATCAAGTTGCTAAGGCGTCCATTTCACAAGTTGAGGGGAATGAACGTTTTTGCATAAATGCTGGATAATTGATGAATCACGAAACAGGAGTCATTGTCAGCTGAATCAAGTGTTCACAACAATTTATATAAACATGGTTACTTTGTTTCCGAATGAACAATCAGGAGGATATTACTGAAATTGAAGATTTTATCCTCACAATAATCCATTTTTTGTCAAAATAGGCAATGACATAGTAACTGATTAGTGAATGTGCCGACATTTGGGAAGCTATTCAAACTGCTCTCAAGTTGGTATCGACTGTTCAAATGTCACCACAATGAACTGTCTACAATAACATGGGGTCTTCAGCTTCCATGAAATGGTTTTCAAGTTCTGAATACATGCTTAGATTCAAATACGATAAAATGACTTCACAGTGTTTTGAATAAATATTTCCATAAATAATTTTGTTTATCAAAATGTGTGTTTATGTAAGTGTCAGGTACTTACGCAATAAAATGACTGAAAAAAACAAGTTAGGGTGAAAGTCAAAGGTGAATGTTCTATTTACCGATAGGTACAAAATCTATCATTGTAAAAATAGAAGTGTATACACGTGACAGGAAATTCTCTAACCACGACTAATATCTTACGAAGTATTATGGAATGGTGACGTATCAAAGCTCACTTAAAGTTGGAAGTGCCTGTGATGACGTTGTGCAACAAAACTACAAAAGCTTCATGATTAAACCTAGCAGCAAAAATTTCAAGAAAATCCCATCTCAGCTCAACATTTAATTTAGCAATTAACAACTTTTCTTCACCCTTCTTTTGAAATGATTTTTAAAGGACATGGAACCAGAAGCACTTGCGAAACAAAACATCTATTCGCAAATCTTTCATTATGAATTACTATCTACAAACAAACATGGCTCCAATCATAACGCTGAACTTCCACTTTCATAGCCCACTTGTCCGAATAGTTATATTGTTCGTATACACATAGAGAGAGTTTAACAAAACTTACGGACAGCTAAAATGGTGATATAAATACAACAAAAAATATACTAGAGAAAAAATATTTACATGAAGGTTAGTTAAAAGTTCTCAAACATTCAAAATGAATAAGATTAAATACCTCTGTTTCACTAGGAATGATTTGAGCCATTAATTCTTACCATCGTGATGATTCTGACAAGAAGTTTAAACATCATAACATGTGCGTCAGTGGCACAGTGGTTAGGACTCTCGATGACCATGCACATGGTCCGAGGTTCGAGCCCACGCCAGCGCACACCTGATATCTATGGTCGGCCTGCGAAATTTCGGCTACCGATATCCATGCTGAAAATTCCATACTTGTACCAAAAATACAGTGTGAATCAAGCTGTAAATCAAAAATAAATAAAAAAAATGTGCCGAGTCAACAGTCAAAAACTTCTTAGACTGCTATCGTGAATCTATGTCACTCATCTACACTCCTTTTTAACCTTATTCTAACAACAATGGTCGAGGAAGACAATAGTTCTCTATGTAAAACACATGTAGTACTGACTAACTATTCCTCCTCTAGGCTTAGCCTAATCGTCATTCACCGTACTATACTGTCGAACACAAGAGACATAATGTAGATACGCGATGCCAAAAACCACTAGTCTTTTCACAGAGAGACGTTATCAACATATTCAAGGCAAACTTTATGAGAAAACATTAACACGTTATAAATTGACAAAAAATTCATAAAAGTATTTACTTGGCGGTCTTTGGACGTTACACGATACGACACCGATCAATACTAAACATAACACACGTAGCATTCTGCAGAAAATCAAGTGAATCAATTTTGCTGGTTTCATTACTCCTTAAATATAAATTAACCTGTCTAGACACCTGGAATCTGATTTGATAAATTATGAATAAAGTCAATGTGAGCAAATGACTGACAGATAGAAACTCCCAATCGAGTTATTAGATTATTGCATAGAATAATACATGTTGAATACGTGAGTATGTAAGTAAGTGAGTAAGTACTTGAAGTGAAATAAAGAGGAGACAGTAGAGTAGCTTTTACTGCCACATATATGAAATACTGATTAAAGCAGTGTATTCATTATTGATGAAAGTAGAAGTTGAAATAATTCATTGGATTTCTAACATGCCAATGAAATCATCAGATTCAAAACATAACTGAAGGTGACCGGTTGTTTCTACTGAGAACCCCAACTATTATGAACATTAATTCACATCAACTATATTCGAATAAAACAGAAGTATGCTCGCTGGTGACTTGTTATAGGATGGAGTTTCTTGAAGTTTTAATGAGAAGTCTTGACCAGTGAGGTTCAACCACTCAAGTGTGAGGATGGATTTTCCACTGATGACATCGATTGGTGGCCACACTGAATCACAAACTGATAGAAGTTAGAATTCATGCACTGGCTGGCCATTGAATCACATGGGTCCCAGTGGCTGAATGGTATGCGAGTGAGTCTGACTTGTTACCGGAAGGTCCTGTGAAGTGGGCTTGTACTGCCGATGGTTTTCACACTAGGATGAAACAGCTGTCAAATACTAAAGTGCTGGTTTTCAATGTTTTTCTAAATGATATCGATCCACGGTCAAACTCGTTAAAAGGAATTTAATTCTTACCAACCAACTTTTGAAGAAATGTAATTAAAAATGCTACTTACCCAACTAATTCAATCTTCTAAACTAAGTAAGGAACGCAGTATAACACAGTATAAGTAATTACGGTGAATGTCTATTTGTAGACCTGTGAGAGCATCTACCCGATAAAAAAAAGTTACTGTCGGAACAGTATTAGCAGACAGTAATATAAGATGATTGTAGGCAACCTGCAGGAAACCTTATCCACATAGTTTTCGTTCTACTTGGCACTCACAAGTTAGGAAGGAGTATCTACAACAAAAACGCGCGCTTTTCGACTACTGTGCTACATTTCCCCACTTTCATAAAAACTCTCGTTTCTGTAGAATTTCATGCCAAGAGTTTGTGGAAATTATCAAAATTATTTACCTTTCAAACACTAAAACTGTGGACATAATCTTATTGACAGATAATACTTATAATCAATTGTTTGGAATTGGTAGAGCAGTTAGGACCCTCGCCGACCATGCATGTGGTCCGGGTTCGATCCCCGGCCGGCGCACTCCTTTACCTTACTGAGCCAGAAATAATGCTGGTAAAGAGGAAAGGTTGGGCATGAGGCTAGCAACCCCATCCTGTAAAAATTAAACACTGCTACAGAAACTTCAAGCCACTAGCTTGGAGCCCTAGGTTCCACTGGGAACGTGAAGGAAAACAAAACATAAACTCTGACTAAAATTTTATATATTGTTGGGTCTATATGTTCAAGTTGTTCCAAGGCCGTGAGTCTGTGGATTTGGTATCATTTTAGTTAACTGTGCTGAACTATATTGCATGTTGTTGTATTGTATCGTTGTTGTCGCTTTTCGCCCTTTTTGCTGTGAATTGTCTTCCTTTTGCTGGTGTTATTCTGATTGTTTTATCTCTTGTTATCCGGCTTTAAGGGCAGCAACCAAAAAGGTCGCTTCTCTCTAAACTTTATCTTAGTGTAACCATTCCTTTCTCAGGCGTGAGGCTAGCAACCCCACCCTGTAAACAAACTGCTACAGAAACTTCAGCACAGTAAATCTCTTTGCACCAAAAGAAAAAGTCTGTGTGGGAACATGGAACGTCCGCACTACGTACGAGACTGGGAAAGCTGCCCAAATCGCAAACGAGATGAAAAGATATGGAATCCAAGTGCTGGGAATATGTGAAAGCAGATGGAATGGGAGTGGACTCACCAAATTGTCAACGTGTGAGTCAGTGATCTACTCCGGTCACCCGAAAGATAATCACACGCACACCGAGGGCGTGGCTATCATGAGATTACCAACAACAAAGAAGGACCTGATGCAATGGGAGGCGATCTCGCCCAGGATAATGACCGCCAGATTCAATTTCAAAAGAAAGGAAAGTGTCAATTATACAATGTTGTGCACCCACAAACAACGCAGACCTCGAAAAGAAAGAAGAATTCTACAGACAACTACAGGCAACAATGGACAATACTCCAGCTGGCGACATGAAAATACTAATGGGAGACATGAACGCCAAACTGGGACCAGACAACATAGAAAGGCAACTCATCATGGGTAGAGAAGCTCTCGGAGAAATGAATGAAAATGGAGAACTCTTCGCCGACTTCTGCGCCTTCAACGAACTAGTGATTGGTGGCAGTGTATACAAACACAAAGATATCCACAAGGCTACATGGGTGTCACCAGATGGGCAAACCAAAAACAAAATTGATTTCATCTCAACCTCAAGGAAATGGAGGCGCAGCCTACTGGACACAAAAGTAGGAAGAAGAGCACACGTTGTCTCAGACCACCATCTCGTACAAAGGGCAATCGAAGTGAAATTCAAAGCTCTCAATGAAACAGGAGCTTCAGATAGACTACAAGCCAAGTTCAATACTCAAAAACTAAAGGACCAGGATAAAAATGACATCATCATTGCAAGCATAAAGGACAAAGCAGAGATACAAATCAACACCAGCGAAAAGGTCAGCGTCAAAAAGCACTAACACAACCTAAAAACGGTACGGAATCAAAACTTCATGGAAGTTCTAGGCAGAAACAAGAGGCAGGACCAACATTACGTACACATGGAAACTAATAGAAGAGGGAAGGACAGTGAAACAAAAGATTATCCAGTGCACTGACGAGCAACAACAACAGGAGTTGAATGCAAGCTACAATACGCTGAACAAAAGAGTAAACAAGAGTGCCAGGGAAGACAAAAAAAATATGAAACCATGGCAAACGAAGCAGAACAAGCTGCAGGCGAAGGAGACCTCGCCACACTCTACCAAACAACTAGGAACCTATCGGGAAAAAATTCGACACAGATTAAGCCGGTAAAGGGTAAGAATGGAAAGTCAATCACCAAAGAGGTGGAACAGAGAAAGCACTGAGCTGAACACTTCAAAAGACTTCTAAATCGTCCGCCACTAACAGCGCGCCCGACAGTACCAACAACGGAAGCAGAACTACCAGTGAACATCGACCCCCTGACGAAATCAGAAGTCCTGAATGCAATCAAGATGCTAAAAGCTGGAAAAGCAAACTAACCATCCAGCTCAGAGAACAAAACCACATCAAAATCATCCACCTGAGCTACAAATCTTCTCTATAATATCTATTTGCAACACTCTTGTGACCTTTTCTGACCATTCTAAAGACCTCCACAGGATAATTATTTAATATCCACAATTCTTCTTCTCGCTGTTCCATTTCATCTTTAGGATCGTTTTCCTGTTCTTATTAGTGCTATTCCTCGGTTTGTTAGACACCCTTAACTAAGCCTGCCTTCACAGACAGATAATGATGGATGAGTTTAATTCAAGTCTAAATATCTATTAGCGGAATTCGTCAGCTGCTTGTACACGCTGGTGTGCAGTTCACCTTCTTCTGCTCAATTTATTTTACAAAGTAACATCACGGCTAATTCTCCTTGTTCATTATTCGGTAAGCAAATAAAATGAATCACGTTGAATGAAGTCAAACTCACGTAGTCGTGTAAGGGCTTATGGGGAATTGTCATCTGAATTGGTAACAACCAGTGGTGTCCGACAGGGATGTCCACTTTCACCATTTCTGTTTAACTTCATCATAGATATGCTGATGGAAGTATCCTTAACTGAACGTAACGACTTAGGAATCGACTTGTTACCAGGGAATAGTCTTATGGACTTAGAATATGCAGATGACATAGTCCTGTTAGGGGAGGATGCTGACAAAATCCAGCAGAGTCTTCTGAACACCTTGAGCAGCAATCTTCGTATGTTTGGCATGCCATTCGCCCCTATAAAATGTAAGATGCTGCTACAGGACTGGACCACGTCAACTCCTAACTTAGTGATAGGGAGTGAAGTGATAGAGCATGTTGACCACTTCACCTACTTGGGAAGTTGTATTAGCACCAACGGACTGATTGGCGATGAAATCTCAGCACGGATCCGAAAAGCTCGAGCTGCTTTCGCCGACTTACACCATCTCTGGCGTAGGCGTGACATCTGGTTATCAACCAAGGGACATGTGTACTACTCAGCAGTTCACTCCGTCCTTCTCTATGGCTCTGAAACATGGTCAATACGAGTTGAAGACATGAAAAGGTTGACTGCTTTCGATCTTAGATGTCTGCGATCTCTTTCTCACGTTAGGTGGTTTAATAAGGTAAGTAATGTTGAGTGTTGGGGAAAGAGGGAAAATCAATCGACGAGGCTATAAAGGTACATAGACTGAGATGGCTAGGTGACGTGATGCGCAGGCCTAATCATCGCCTCCCCCACCAGACGGGCATTGCTAGCTGATATAGGTTCAGGTTGGAAAAGAGCCAGTGATGGCCAAACAAAAACATGGCCTCATCAATCCATGAAATAAATCCTTGACAGTTAAACTGAGTCGGTCAGGTAGGGAGATGCAGACTTCCGTCCGAGTTGGGGCCCTCGGGACTGACTCTAGGAATCAATGGCTGGAGACAATAGGTGACATGGCTCAAAATCGTTGTCAACGGCCAGCGCAGATGTATTCAATCTCTGTAATCTTTCATATTCCTTTCTACCATTACCCATTCTATTTCACTCTTATACTTGTCAAACTCTATTGATTCTCTTCACTCATCTTCTTGTCTACCTCTGTGTGGTATTTGGAACGTGGTAACTCGAACTGGTGCACTTCGGTGACAAGTTCTATATTGAATCCAGACAGAATGAAGTCAATACAGTGTTTTTGTGAAATTTATTGAGACAGAGAATACGTTAAAT